TATATATATATATATATATAGAGAGAGAGAGAGAGAGAGAGAGAGAGAGATCTATATATATATATATATATATATATTTCCTGTTTTTTTTTAATTGTTTAATTGTTTACTGATATTCTTACTCAACCTGATAAATTTGATCAAAATAAATAAAACAATAACAATATCAATATCAAACGATGTAAGTAAAAATCAAACAATGTAAATAAAAATATGTGTCCATAATTCCATTTACATCTTACTTTAAAAATAGTAGGAAATAAAAGCTTTCTCTTGAGTTAAAGTACCTTTCAAATGTGACATATTTTCGGTGATTTTGAAAACTCCCCATACGAGTATAAAAAATTAAGCATACTCAACCTGTATTTTTGCCATTAAAAATATGATATTTTTTCCTAAACTGCATTATTTTTCCAAATTACAAGAAACGTTCTTAGGATATTAGAAAATTCGTGCTTAACTTAATCATTGTACATATTGCTTCCTTCTTAAAAGCAAATCATACTACTGAGAAAAAGATAGTTTGAATATTGTTTAATCAATTGTTTAATCAGAACAAGGAAATGAAGTTTATCTTGTATTAATTTTTCTCTTTAATTGTAAATAGTATATGTGATTGCCATTAAATATTTTCTTCCTATTCAATTTGAGCACAGTTCAATGTGTTTTTAATTTTAACGTCAACAGAGCAGAATAATCCAGCCTTTTGTTAGAAGTCGGACCCGGTTTCTCAAAACGCATGAATGTTGAAAAGCAGATATTTTTTTTAATGAAGATATATTTATAAGTAATGAAATATTTCAATTGGCTAAGTATTGAAATATTTAGTTTCGATTTTTATTGCTGTTTGAAATTTGTTTCGAAATTCATCTTTTAATTTGAATCTTTGTTGTATATTTTTCAGTGAATAATGACTAATGTAACTATAAGTTGATTGAAAAAGAAGCGAAGTGTATATGAAACATCTTTTGTGAAGCATTTAAATTTTTAGAAATGAAATTTTTAGAAGTCGAACCTAGTTTTTTCGAATTAATAAAAATAGTGTAAAAAAATAGTCTGGTATCTAAAAAGAGCATTTTTTTTTATTGAAGCTATCTTTATAAGTAATGAAATATTCTGTAAGTGATGCTATTTCAGCTGGTAAAAGTTTCTAACTACAAAATCATTTCGTATGAGGCTTTTCAGCAGTTGCACACTATTTAAGTTCTTTCCAAAAAAAAAATTAGGAAAAAAAAAAAGGAAGACACAGATGTCGGTTATTTTTTAATGCATCACGTCATTTTGTCACATTAGGTTCTTAATATAGTTTAAAACCCTCCACACATTAATTTATACGTACCTTTTATCCCTGAATAAGTGCAAGATATTATTATCGTTTAGATGAGTTATAAAATCTTCAAATTCAGTAATTGTTCTTTGCCAATCATAACAACTATCGTCGCATACAGGATTATCTTTAAAAACCTGAAATAAAATGACGAAGCATTATTTATATTATTTTATTTGACAAAAAATAATAAAATTTACAATAGTTTCGTGAAAAATTATATGAATAAATAAATCTTGGTGTAATTAACTATGAATGTGATACTCTATGAACAAAAGCCATCAAATACTTTCAATGGTTTTTTTCGTATTCACAAGAAACACTAAGAGAATTTTTTGTTTGCTTGTTCTTTTATTTTATTTTACTACAACTAGTACTTTACAATAACATTTTTTTCCATGCGGTAATTAAGGGATATGAAAAAATAATAAAAGAAATTATGTACTCTTAAACATCTTGCATATATAAAGCAATAAATCTGTAAATTCTACACTTGTTTTTACTTATGATGTGCGGTGCATTGAGCTAAAAATTACTTTTTGCATCAAACATAATAAATTACAATATAAATTCATTATTTAGTAGAAATACGTGCGTAAAACTTACGCCTAAGTATATGTCATCTAAGTTGCAATATTTGTCATGCTTGCTACATAACTCTTCTTCGGAATTGAGAAAAACACACTTATGCGGCTGTTCTGTGCAAACATGTCTCCTACTTCGCCTTCAAAGGAAGTCAAGAATTTATCATTATAAAGGTTAAAGTTAACAACTAAGAATTTTACTGATCTCTACAAATTAGAACCATAGCCATTCATATAATGTAGAAGATCTAAAACAATCGAGAATATGTCCGGGTGTGTCCGTAAAGTCCGGGCAATCGGTTAATTTTCAAGAAAACGGTCATAAAAGTGCCTACTACCAGATAGTTAACTGTTAACTTGGTTTTAAAATTAATTTGAAAAGAAAGATTTCACATAAACTTGAAATTTTGCCGGCAAAAGATGCCTGGTCGATGTTAAATCTACGGAAATTTCTTTTCCTTTCAGTCGATTAGCATGACTTAGCAGACTATTACCTATATGTACGGTCAGCAAAATAAAAAACGGACCACTCTGAATACTTTTGATCTAATGTAGTGATCTAATTAATGACTTTTGACTCAATCTTAATGGTTCAAGGGGGAGATCTCAAATATGTTAATTAATAAAAGCAGACGATATTTTAAGTTACGAAATCAGACATAAAAACGCACTTTCTCTGAATAAACATGTCTGTTTTTCGATGGATTCAGATTTTCGACCCCAAAAATACAGGGGGTAGCCGCTATCTGGGAAATACAGTCCCGATTGATTGGTCACGAGAGCTTGGATTTCCTAACGTTGATTTTACTTTTTATGTATTTTCTCTTATCTTGGGAAGTTTTTAAGTGAATTGAAAATTTTTTACTCACGGTTATAAAATTCGTTTCTCCAAAGATAATTTTATGAAGAAAAAAAAAGAAATTATTTAGGTAAATATTTATTATTTTTTATTATTTTATTTAATAATTGAAAATTTAATTGTGAAGCATAAAACTTTTTCTGTAGTTTTAAAAATTTTATTGTTACATGGAAAATTACAAAATTTGAGTGAAATCGGTCGAATAATTACCGCTTCTTTTGGTAAACATCAACATGTTTTGCGCCAACTGCAATCGCTATGGCGCCAAATTGATTTTAAACTAGAAAAACTAAGTTAAAAAAATTATTAAAAAAAATATTTAAAAAAAAACATGTAGTTGGGTTGGCTACGATTTGTACCCCTCGAGCTAGTCCCGTTCTGTGATTTTTTTTTTCTTTTTTTACTTTCTCTTGCCTGCCCGGAAGTTGCTAAGAGTTGGCAATTATTCTGTCACAGATCACGATACAGATATCTCCCCTTTTTAATTCTCACTTTGACCAAAGTAAACGGTTATTATTAATTTTTACCGGTTAGTATTAATAATAACCGGATTTATCACTTTAACCGTAACATATGTATTACTTACCGATTTGCATCGCATAGAGTTATTGCTGGCCGATCTATGGTGAATGGTCTTTCTATTATCTGCATTGAAGTAGTTTCGTAAGTAAGATATTGTATCGCGTAATCATAAGTAAAATACAGAAATCCAAATAAATTCAGAAGAAATATCGAATTTGACGCTGCGACATCGGCTATAGAAGAAATGAACGACTTCTTGAATATTTTTACTGCAATTGCCGTTTCATCAGCTTCGAGAATTATTTCGTTTCCACTCTGTTCAACTCCAAACGGACGAATAGTATCTTTTCTCTTCTAAAGAAGGAAAAGAAAATATCCATTTTTAATATAATTTGGAGATATTGTAACGAGATAAAATGCTTTCTAAACGCTACCGTTTGTGCAGGATTTCGCAGTTTTTGAACTTTGACATGTAAAAAAAACTATGTTAAATTCAAACTTTAGTAAAATTTATCGATATTATATTCATAACTGGACTCAGACGAGTGAATTTGATCAATATTGGCATTATTTGCATGTAATATTTACAAATAATAAGTCAAAACATACCTTGCACAAAGTAGCCCCCAAGTGGGGCTACTTTGTGCAGCGATAGGAATTCAGTTTAATAATCATGTTTTTAGTAAAATATTGATATAAAATTGTTAAAAAAGTTAATTGTTGACATTTTTAATAACAAAAACATCAAGATATGTAAAGATATTAGTTTGAAAATAATTTTCAGCGTTAAAAAACCATTTTTTATAAAGAATTTTTTCTTAAAAAGAATGTTTATTTCAAAACATTTGAGTTTAAACAAAAGGAAACCATATACATTTTTGAACATTGAAATGGATGAAATTTCAAAAATAATAATTATTACATATTCATTAACATTTATAATATTGATAAATTTGAACATAACATGCTTGAATGAACATGACAGAACTTGCTCTTCAGTTTCTGTCAAAATCACCTGATGTCCTATAAAATATATTTTTATGTGTTAAATCGTTTGATTAATTCATTAGAAAAATCTTTGTAGAGGAAAAATAATAGTTTACCAGCACGTTTCACGTGTTTCTTGTGAATTTTATTAGAGATAGTATTTCTGTGGATTTTGTACTTCCGAGAAACTTCTGCAATCGACATACCACCAGCAACTGCTTGCAAACATTGTTGCAGCTTTTCTAAAGTGTAATCACGGTAGTTTCTCGTTCCAGGATTTTTTTTTATAACGTCTGACCATTTTTCTCTCGAAAAAAAACGAATGAAACTTTGCACGAAGTAGCCCCACAGTGCATTTTTTTTCATTTTCCGTTTATTTGTTATTAATTTTCAAAACATTTTAACGCTAACATGATATAATTGTTTATTAATACATAAATAAAGAATTTTGCACTTACTACAATTGTTTTATCAACGTCTTTGCATTTCACAGCTAAAGTTTCCACGCACACTTTTCGATGTCCGACGTTCTCGGAAAGTTGTTGACATTGGATAAACAAAACACACTCTGAGATTGTTTTAAAATTCGAAAAAAAATTTTGTAGTAATAGAGGAGACTTCTATCTTCAAATTCCACACATTTTTAACGTGAAAAAAACGTAATACTGAATAGCAGCACTTGAAAAGTGCCAAATTCGAATTTGCACAAAGTAACCCTCGCTGCACAAAGTAGTCCCACAAGACGTTACATAAAGACTCAGTATCATCAATTAAACTCATTTTGAAATGTGGTTAATTCATGAATTTAAATGGCAGAAAATAAATGCAAAATTAAATGGCAATTTTAAATCATTAAATCATGCATGCTTCATGCAAATTTAAATGGCAGAATAGAAAATTTGAGTGAAATCGGCTGTATAGTTCTAAACAATAGAATTTTGAAAACGCGTCTATTTCCAAATTCGATCCACCAGAACTATTCGACAGATTTCGATCACATTTTGTATTTTGCCATTTTAAATTGCATTATTATATCTGTTGTATTGTTGCGATTCAAAATAAATTTTAGAATAAAATAAATAGTTACAATTTTTAAATTAAAGTATTAACATCATAATAGGTAGCATTTAAGGCACTAATGGCAATGTATAATATAAATGTGAAAACATAAAATGTGATCGTAATATTTACAAACAGTGTTCAAATGAATTTTCCTGATCCTTCGTTCCAGAAGGATCTCCAGGATCATGTGGTCTAATGGTGCACACTGGATATGAATAATTTAAGAGAATTCCTTTAGGAAATTTTAAGAAACTTTATTTTTACTTCTCATTACGGGTTCTTGGATGCAGGTGGCTCCGGACAGGTGGTGTTAACACATACGGGATCCCCAGGATAAAATCTTAGACAAGAAAAACTTTTCTTTCGAAAGAAGATGAATTCTATTTCTCAGAAAATAAGTCATCTGAGTTGTGCCGCATGCACAACCTGGCTGTAGAAATCGCACCAAATCATTGGCGACAGGAACACGTGCCAAGCCTCATCTTTTATATTAATGGAACGTGATAGTGTCTTGAAATTATTTTATTAGATTTTTGACTTAATGAGTCTCCATAATTATTTCTTGTAAAAAGAACAATCGCTGAGCAGGAATGCAAGAGCCTTGAAGTTATTAAAAAATGAGATCGATGCTTCTCTCTCACGGTGGCTTCCTCGACTGCCGCCAAGAAGGCACGCGGAAAGGAGCAAAGCGATACACGGTTAAAGTTAGGGTGGGGAAAATCGATAAGAAAAATTAGTTGATCAAGTTAAATGTAGGGAAAGGCTATTGCGGTTAAACGAACGGAAACTGAAAAAACTATTGAGGAGATGAACATCGACGCACGTGTCATGTAGCAACATCACAATATCCAAAAGTTATTTAGGGTGGTCTGTTTTTTATTTTGCTCACTGTACAGTTTAATTATAATTTAAGAAAGAAGAAATAATGTTTACCTGTATTAAATGGATGATAGTATAAAACAGAATTAAGGCGATAATAGCAAGAAAATCGACTAATTCAAGAAGTGAAAAACCAGTCCACAATCCAAGGTAGCCACCTATTCTGCTTGCGATTTCAAGATACTGTTAAAAATAAAATATTCTTTATCACAATAACTTTAAATTGCGATTAATGTTAATATAACTTAAATTATAGCTGTTCCTAATGCAACATCGATATACACTGAAAAGCCAAAAAAAACTGGTATACCTGTTTAATATCGTGTAGGGAAGTCCGTATCGAAAGCCCACATCGATGATGTTTCGTTGAATGGTTCGCACGCTGACACTTGTTGATGGCCCAGCATTGAAATCTGCTGCAATTTGTGGAAGGGTTGCACGTCTGTCACGCTTAATGATTCTCGTCAATCGTCGTTGATCCCGTTCTTCCATGATCTTTTTCCGACAGCAGCGATGTCGTAGATTTGATGTTTTACCGGATTTCCGATACTCACGGTATACTCGTGAAATGGTCGTACGTGAAAATCCAAATTTCATTGCTATCTCAGAGATGCTATGTCCCATCTCCCGTGCGCCGACTATAACACCACATTCAAACTCACTTAAATCTGTATAACCTGGCATTGTAGCAGCAGTAACCGATCTAAGAACTGTGCTAGACACTCGTTGTCTTATATACGCGTTGACGATCGCAGCGGTGTACTTTGATTGGCTCCATACCCCTTTATTTACATACTCATGTCTGTACCAGTTTTTTGGCTCTTCAGTGCAAAACAAATGTATATTCGGTGATAATGGTCTGTTAGGATTGCCAATAACTCAAGATTACCATCTAGACGATTGACAAAAACGACACTAAGGCTGACTTGGCAATTTCAGACATGATCTCCCAATACTTTAACTTTTGAGTTAAGGATAATGAATGGACTTGACAATGCCCAATTGACAAAACGATCTAAATTATTGAAGGCGGTCCCAAGTATCTCCCAGTCATAAAATCCCACAATTTTGAAATTGTTATGATAGTTTTACAAGGGTAATTTGGTTGATTGGATTCATAAACAAAACACGAATGGTTTGAAATTAATGTAACGAATGGCTGGCCAAATGCAAACAATACGAAATTAACAACAGTTAGTTCAAATTTTTGCCGGTCTTTTCTTCAACGATGTAAAGTAAATCTCAATCTCGTGGAAAAAATGTGGCAGAAATTAGATAATTTCATACATTACAATACTAAATTAAATTACTACGCTAAATTACATTACTACATTACCACATTATAACATTACTACACTGAATTAATTTTATTATATAGTTGCTACCATTTTTCCTTTTGAGGTAAACTAAAGACATTTTTAAGAATAGATCTGTAGTTATCGCGCAGAAACTATAAGAAGAATTGACAAAATAACAATTATTTGAAAGAATTTTAGCGAATATATTACTTAAAATGTGTTTGTTTCTTAAACGAAATATTTTTACAATGAAGCCAGGAAATTGATTCTAATGCGCATTAAAATATGTGTTGTCAGTAAACAACAAAACAAAAAAGTATAAATAGAAAATGAAACTACAGCAGTGAAAAAGCAAATTATGAACAAACAAATGTAATTACATGCTCTGTAAAAAGTATTAGTTTATCTCAACACTGAAAATGATAACAACTATACACGCTCAACCACTTTTATTTCCACAATGGACTGACACAGTTCCCTGGACAGGTAACAAAACAGGAGAGTCATCAGAGGATTATAATTGTGATGGTATGACTTTAGATCATCCTCAAGAATTTTTAACCAGTCCGACTCCAAAAGTCCATTGTGCAGCGCTTATGCAACGTAGTTAAAGTACTACTGCAACAATAGCGATTAGTTAATTCCAGTAAATAAATGTAAAAGAAGTCATTTAACCCTTTACAAACTCATTATTTGATTTATTATATGGCGCTTGCCGAAAACAAACTATAACTTCTTTTCACCCATGGTTGATCCATGAATGTTTCTATCTAATAACATCAAAAAATAGGTTTTCATTGAAAAAAAGATACATGTGTGTGACCGCAAAAGGGTTAAAAATATTCATTAAAATTTGTGATGTGACATACCTGTATTCTAGGAACAGAAACCACTTTCGTCAACGAGAATTGGTTAAACGTAATTGTTAGCGATATGTTGTTATACCTGCAAAAATTTAAAAAAAGTTTTTAAAAGAAAT